TTGGGATAATGGCTCGTCATCAGCAGCACTGCTTTTAACTAAACATTCAAGAATGGTCCGATTCTCATTTTGAGAGCCGACTGGAGCACAGGTGGTGGTGGTGAGCTCGGAGTTCAGTCCCACAATGCCCCTGATGTCAGTGTCGGAGCCAGCGATGGACTCGTACCCTGAGGAGGGTGCAGACCTACAGGTTCCTGCCAGCTCTTCCTCCAGAACGACAGACAGCGTCTGGTCCGACAGCATCACCCGAAACTGATGCTCTGCTTCAGTGCCTCCATCTCCACGACCCTCTAACCCTTCAAACAGCACGGCCTCTGGGCCTTCGTGGAGTTCACAGGTTAACAGTACGCCATGCTCCGTCTCTGAGGCTTCCATCTTCTGCAGGGCAGCAAGAGCATTTGTCAGGATGCTGTCCACCATCTTTTTAGACTCCAAACGTAGGACCTCTTCATCTACTCCAGAGTCCACCTCAGCCCGTTCCAGCTTGGACTCCTCCGGACGCTGGTGAGCCTGAGAAACCGGGGCTAGATCATCTGTTCTGTTTACAATTACTGATGGCTTTGGTTGCTCTGAGCTCTGTTCTGGAGTGGGGAGTGTGTCGTGATGGACAGTGATTGATTGTGCGTTTGATGGTGTCAGATCTACAACGTCTCCTGATACTGCCTCTAATGTAACAGCCTGGGCAAGATGCTCCTGTCTGCGGTTAACCGGGTCATTCGACGGACTTGGTTCTGCTGGTTGAGGAATTCTGTAGACATCTATGCAGGTAAGCAACCGGTCAGAGTCTGTAACATGAGGGAGTTGGTGGGCTGGAGTTAGTCCAGATTCAACAGTAGGAACCTCATCTAATAAGTCACTCTGGGTCAATCCATCCTCTATCTGCTGTGTCTGTGAAGGAGATGCTTGATATTCCTGACTATCAGAGCTCATTGTGTTAACAGAGGAAGAGGAAATCTCGTTGTCCTCATGGTTGTCGGGCGGAGTCGCCTCTTCTCCCTCAGAGATGGGCGACTGAAGCTCGACTCGATGCTTCTTCTTTGGTTTCCTGACTTCCCTCAATCCACGGTACGTGCCATAAGTCACCACAGGAGGGCAGGCTAGGTCATGACGTCTCTTCTCCTCCGAGCGCTCTTTGGCGTTGATGTTTACGCCATCGCTTCTATCTTCCTCGGTCTGTTCCTGAGATCTGAAAAGAAGACGGACAAAGAGACACTAGTAAAGCTATCCCGCACAATTCCACACACAACGAATGGATCCATAAACAGGAGAGACAACCAAATATTTGACAGACATTAAAGCACACACTCATGACATTTGTAGTGCTCTCTGTCTGTGTTATATTGCTGTTATGTAAAACCAAGTAAAACATTATACTCATTCAATATTCATAAGCAGCATCTACTCAAAAGCAACTACTGAATGTAAGTGCATTACAGAAACCATCACACTATTATACTGTACAATGCAAATTAGTACAAAAAAACAAAGTAAAAAAAGATTTAACCATAAACCAATACAAAACAATTAAACATTCTAAAGGATTAGAGATGCAGCGATCTGATACAGACTTTTTTGCCAGATCAGCCAGATCTTCTAAAGCCATTAAATTGCTTTATTTCATGAACAAACGGTACTGCTTATTCTGAATGGTGTGGTACTCGCAATCGGATGAGAGGACTGGAGTAGTGAACTGAATAAAACTCATTATTCACACAGCAAATGTCATTTTAAACTGAGGATAAAGGCTCAGTAAACAGTCAAATGCAATACTCTGAGTGTTGTGCACACACAACAGATCTTCTCCTTGTTCTCTGCGAAGGAACGAAGGAAGCAGTTGATCAGATAAACCTTCATTAGATGGACACATTTGAGTCTGCCCTCGAAACATTCTCATGACAGAGGAGAAACATGTAGGAGTGTAAAATAACTGAATAAGTGGCAGAATATTTCCCAGGAGGGTCTAACTAGACACTTGGATCTCAAGCAAACTGTGATATAAATAGAATTTAAAATAAGAAGTTTCACATTAAGTAAGACAATGAAAGAACTGAGGTGTTTCCATTCTTGGACTGAATAAATCTGTTTTATCAGCTCAGCTTCCTGTCAAACATGATTCCCGGTGGATGAGCTTCTGTGCTAGATGGAAATAACCATTACAACTCGCTTTTCATCATCAGCACACCGTCAGCAAACGCAAGAGAGATGAGAGGCTCCTCAGAGGTCTTACCCTTTTGTTACTTCAACCTTCATAAGCCAACAGCAGTGACATACTCACTCACTCACTCACTCACTCACTCATTCACTCACTCACTCACTCGCACACTCACTCGCACACTCGATCACTCACTCGCTCACTCACTCACTCACGCACACTCATTCACTCACTCACTCACTCACTCGCACACTCACTCGCACACTCGATCACTCACTCGCTCACTCACTCGCACACTCGATCACTCACTCGCTCACTCACTCGCACACTCGATCACTCACTCGCTCACTCACTCGCTCACTCACTAGCACACTCAATCACTCACTCGCTGACACTCGCTCGCACACTCGATCACTCGCTCACTCACTCGCTCAAAAGCATTGTGATTGAAGTTGGTCAAAGAAACTGCTAGCGTCGATGGTCCTACGATCTATTAGGCATACAATGCTTTTGGGAAACGCAGGCCCGACCAGCGTTCTGACAGCCTCAGTTTCACTCTGCAGGACGTTCAACTGAACATGAAATGATACAGCACTGTCTGAACCTTAAATAGTTTAGCAGAGAGGAACACATTAGTGTAATGAGCACATGGAAAAGCAGAAGCTGTTGAAGAGCTGCGAGAGAGGCGTCTGACTGCACGAGTTGTGCTGGTCTGGTGTGTGTGTCAGTCAGCTGGACTGAACGAGCCTCCACACACACGTCTGCATGAGGACGCCAAAACCTCAGAGTAAATAAAACGGTAAAAAAACATCAAGTTATATTAGTAACACTACAATAAGATTCATTAGTTAACAGAAGTTAATTTACTAACTAACATGAACTAACTTTAAACAATCCACTTGTTAATTTATTTGTCAATCTTTGTTAACATTAGTTAATAAAAAATACAGCTGTTCATTGTTAGTTCACAGTGCATTAACTAATGTTTTAATAAAGTATTAGTAAATGTTGAAATTAACATTAAATGCTGTATATGTGCAGTTCTTTATTAGTTCATGTTAACTAACGTAGTTAACTAATGTTAACAAACAACCCATATTGCAAAGTCTTACCGTTATATTTATCAGTATAGCACTTTTTACAACACACACTTCCAAAGAATCTTTACAGAAAGTCCAACTCTGGATAATGCCGTAAGCTTCAGAGCTGGGCGATATGACGATATATGCTGATGATGCGAGGGATCCTCTGTATTTACATCTAGATATTGTATTTATAGTGTTGTATAGGGTTGAGAGCTGTTGTCACTCAAACGAGGGATCGAGACAATTAAGAGGTTTAAATGTGGGTTGGTTTTCTTCTTGATTGATTGATATATTTAAATATTTGTGGATTTTGTGTAAGGGTGAGAGTTCAAAAGTTTGTAATGCTTTAATGAAGATATGAAATCTCTTGGAGTGATCTTTGATGATCGGCTGACCTTCTCAGACCATATTACAAAAACAGCTCGATCATGCAGGTTTGCAATGCACAACATCAGGAAGATCAGGCCTTTCCCAACTGAGCAGGCGACACAGCTTCTCGTCCAGGCCCTGGTCATCTCTAGGCTTGATTACTGCGATGCTCTTCTGGCTGGACTTCCGTCATGTGCAACTAAACCTCTACAAATGATCCAGAATCCTGCTGCTGCTCGTCTGGTCTTCAACGAGCCCAAAAGGGCCCACGTCACTCCTCTGTTCATCTCTGTGCACTGGCTCCACTCGCTGCTCGCATCAAGTTCAAGACGTTGACTCTTGCTTACAGATCGATCACTGGCCCAGCTCCCTCTTACTTTCACTCGCTCCTACGAGTCTACATCCCTACCAGAAGCCTACGATCGATCAATGAGCGGCGGCTCGTGGTGCCATCACAAAGAGCCACAAAATCACTCTCTAGACCATTCTCACTCACGGCTCCATGCTGGAGGAGTGATCTGCCCATCATCATCCGGAACGCAGAATCCCTGACAGCCTTCAAAAGACAACTGAACACTCATCTCTTCCGTGAGCACTTAATATATATAAAAAAATCCTTACTTGCCTGGTTTATACTACTCTGAGCAATGTTTGAACTTCGTATTTTGAGCACTTCTTGTGTTGTTGTTGCCTTTTCGCGATGACTTGTTTGATTTAGTTCTCAGATGTGAGTCACTTTGGAAAAAAGCGTCTGCTAAATGACTAAATGTAAAATATAAATATGATACGGTACACACACAAATAACTTAATTTATTATTATTATTGATTGTATTTCCAATTGAAAATGTCCTCAAAGTACAACCAAATAAACACACACTCCCTCTAACGTGTGTATGAAATAAGTGAGAAACAGCGCAGACGTTTACAGCTCAATAAAGTGCAGATATGATCCACAATCACCAGAGCTCAGATGGTTTATCTGGTAATACATCATATTGACAGCTTCTGTGTGTGACACCACGTCTGATAACAGATAACACACACTGGAGCTGCAGATACACCAGTTACGGTGATGAACATCCTTTGGCAGGACGTTCTGAATGAAAAAGCACTGTGGATGTTCAGGGCCGGTTTGATGACATCATCAGCAGGCGCCAGGCCTCAGGGGGTCGCAGTCACAAGGACTGAATTATGAGAGAAACCAGTGTCCTCGACACACACACGAACACACACACACACTCTATCTTTAGCATGTAAATCATAGATTTCTATCGCTTTTATATTCACACAAGAGGCTAACCCAAACCTTTGAACAAAATGTTGAAAACACACGCAGACATGCACACACACACACACACACACACACACACACATATATATATATATATATACTGTATATATATATATATGTACACATTCATTTATAAAGCACTTTTTACAATATAGATTGTTTCAGAGCAGCCTAAAGCCACCGCCGCACTGGTAACTAGTTAGCAACTTCAAGCAATATTCCAATAATTTATAGAATTATAACACTTTAAATAGGGCCATTTTGCATGAGTACTTTCACGTTTAGTACATTTTGCTGACTATGTATGTGATTTTAATTAAATACGATTTTAAATATGTAATTAAACATTTTCATTACGGTATTATTACTTTTACTTTATTAAAGATCTGAATACTTCCACCACTGGTAGAGACTAGAGGAAACATGACTAATAATAGAAGATGGTGACATTCATTACATTGTTATTTTTGATACATCATTACTAAATAAAAAGATGAAGTCATTAGAGAAGGTTAAGACACAGTATTTAGAATACAATATAGAATAGAACATGCAATGCAAACTAGTTTGGTTCCAGCTCAAATATATCATTCTCAATCTATCATTCACCCTGTCTCCATTTCATATCTTTGTCACATCATTAAAAGTGTTTGACCAACACATTTAAGAGATCATTGCAAAAGATGTGTTCATGTAAATGCACACACTATATTGGCAAAGTAATGGGACGTTTACATGCGTATAATTTTTAATGACATGCCATTCCTGATCAGTAGGGTTTAATATGGAGTTGCTCCACCCTTTGCTGCTATAACAGCTTCAACTCTTCTGGGAAGGCTTTCCACAAGGTTTAGGAGTGTGTTTATGGGAATGTTTGCCCATTCTCTAAAGCGCATAAGTGAGGTCCAGCACTGATGTTGGATGAGAATCTCTCAGTCTCCACTGTTACTCATCCCAAAGCTGTTCTGGTGGGCCGAGCTCAGGATGTGCAGCCAGTCCAATCTCCTCATCCATGTGTTTTTGGTCCACCAAACAACCCCACACCATAACCCGCCCCCCCCTCCACCAAACAACCCCACACCACAATCCCCCCTCCAACAAACAACCCCACACCATAACCCCCCCTCCAACAAACAACCCCACACCACAATCCCCCCTCCAACAAACAACCCCACACCACAATCCCCCTCCACCAAACAACCCCACACCATAACCCCCTCCAACAAACAACCCCACACCATAACCCCCCTCCAACAAACAACCCCACACCATAACCCCCCTCCACCAAACAACCCCACACCACAATCCCCCCTCCACCAAACAACCCCACACCACAATCCCCCTCCACCAAACAACCCCACACCACAATCCCCCCTCCAACAAACAACCCCACACCATAACCCCCCTCCACCAAACAACCCCACACCACAATCCCCCCCCAACAAAATCCCCCCTCTAACAAACAACCCCACACCACAATCCCCCTCCAACAAAATCCCCCCTCTAACAAACAACCCCACACCACAATCCCCCCTCCACCAAACAACCCCACACCACAATCCCCCCTCCAACAAAATCCCCCCTCCAACAAACAACCCCACGCCATAACCCCCCCTCCACCTAACAACCCCACACCATTATCCCCACTCCAACAAACAACCCCACGCCATAACCCCCCCTCCAACAAAATTCCCCCTCCAACAAACAACCCCACACCACAATCCCCCTCCACCTAACAACCCCACACCATAATCCCCCTCCAACAAACAACCCCACACCATAATCCCCCTCCAACAAAATCCCCCCTCCAACAAACAACCCCACACCACAATCCCCCTCCACCTAACAACCCCACACCATTATCCCCACTCCAACAAACAACCCCACACCACAATCCCCCTCCAACAAAATCCCCCCTCTAACAAACAACCCCACACCACAATCCCCCTCCACCTAACAACCCCACACCATTATCCCCACTCCAACAAACAACCCCACACCACAATCCCCCCTCCAACAAAATCCCCCCTCCAACAAACACCCCACGCCATAACCCCCCCTCCACCTAACAACCCCACACCATTATCCCACTCCAACAAACAACCCCACGCCATAACCCCCCTCCACCTAACAACCCCACACCATTATCCCACTCCAACAAACAACCCCACGCCATAACCCCCCCTCCACCTAACAACCCCACACCACAATCCCCCCTCCACCAAACCTTGCATATGCTGACCCGCTCTGTGATTTTACATGGCCTAACACTTCGTGGCTGAGTTGCTGTTGTTCTCAATTGCTTCCACTTTGTTATAATACAACTAACAGTTGACCATGGAATATTTCGTAATTAGGAAATTTCATGAATGGAGTTATTGCACTGGTGGCAACCGATCGCAGTCCCACGCTTGAGTTCACTGAGCTCCTGAGAGCGACCCGTTCTTTCACAGATATGTGTAGAAGCGCCTGCATGTCTAGAGCTTGATTTATACACCTGTGGCCATGGAAGTGATTGGAACACCTGAATTCAATGATTTGGACGGGTGTCCCAATACTTTTGGCAATATAGAGAATCTGTTTATGTATATACTGTATTCTACATACAGTACCAGTCTAAAGTTGGACACACAAAGTACTGTACTATATAATATACAAATCAAGAATATCGGCTGATATATCGATATCTGACATTTTTACTACTTAATTTTGGTATCAGCCCCCAAAAATCCTTTTCAGTTGGACTCTAATACAAACACACACACAAACACACACAGGGTCTGTCGTTGATATGACTTACTGTGTGTGTGTGAGCTCTGAATGACACACAGACGGCTTCACCGGTTCCCCCCTTCCTCCGCTCTTGTTTGTGTTTGCGCTTGTTTGTGTTTCTCTCTCTTCTGTAATCAGGCTGTCCGTGTCGATCTGTGTCTCTCTCTGTCCTCGGGCCGGTTCTGCCCGGCTGAATTGGAACAGGCTTCCCAAGCGTCTGAAGAATCCGTCTGCAGGAGGTGCTGTGGAGGCGGACTGAGGAGTCGAGCTCTCGTCTTCCGAGTGTGACGCGCTGCTTCCGTCAGATAGCGGCGACTCCTGAGAGAGAACAGAGAAAGGGAGGCGCCTTCAGTAGCAGCAGTGACCATCTGTGTCTCTGTGTCTCTCTCTCTCTCTCTCTCACTCTCTCTCTCCCTCTCTCCCCCTCTCTCTCTCCCCCTCTCACGTTCCTCCCCAGCACATCCCACCCTAACACTTAACCCCTTCAGTGCTAAAGAAGAAAAAGAAAGACATTTTGTAGTTGTTATTCAGTCGTTTCTCTGTACAGTTTTCTGTCTTCTGTTAGAGCGGTGTCGTGTTAGCGTGTTAGTTAAGTTAATAACTAATGATCTTTACAACGGAGGTGTATCAATCAAAACTAACATTATCTGGACAATAACTTTACTCTAGATCTGCTGTAAAGCCTAAACACTCTCTGTTACTGTAATCTCCCACTGTAAAGCTGCAGTGAAACATCTGTATTTTTAAAGCGCTGTATAGATGAAGGAGACTTCACTTGTTTTACATATTTGCGGCCACACACTTGCATAAATGTACCCTCTCTGTTGAGACTAGCGCTCAATTGGAGTTAGACAACAAATGTCAGGACCTAATCATCATCGTAATCATACTGTAGTTCTAACATTATCACATGGAATAAGGTTGTAAAGCCGACTCCGTGTTAGAAATAGGTTAGACCTATAACTTCTGTCACTAAATATTGCTTTATCAATAATCTTCCTAATCAGTTTCATCATCTCAGCATCCCAGATACAATGAGAGAGGTCTGTGATTTTCATTGTAGGTACACTTCAACTATAAAAGAGACAAAATGAGAAAAAAAATCCAGGAAATCACATTGTAGGATTTTTAAAGAATTTATTTGTAAATTATGATGGAAAATATGTATTTGGTCAATAACAAAAAATAAACTCAATACTTTGTAACATAACCTTTGTTGGCAATGACAGAGGTCAAACGTTTCCTGTAAGACTTCAGCAGGTTTGCACACACTGTAGCTGGTGTTTCGGCCCATTCCTCCATGCAGATCTCCTCTAGAGCGGTGATGTTTCGAGGCTGTCGCTGGCCAACACAGACTTTCAACTCCCTCCACAAATTATCTATGGGGTTGAGGTCTGGACACTGGCTAGGCCAAACCCGGACCTTGAAATGCTTTTTACGGAGCCACTCCTTCGTTGCCCGGGCGGTGTGTTTGGGATCATTGTCATGCTGGAAGATCCAGCCACGTTTCATCTTCAAGGCTCTCACTGATGGAAGGAGGTTTTGGTTTAAAATCTCACGATACATGGCCCAGTTCATTCTTCCCTCAACACGGATCAGTTTTCCTGTCTCCTTTGCAGAAAAACAGCATAAAAGCATGATGGTTCCTCCCCCATGCTTTACAGTAGGTATGGTGTACTTGGGATACTGTAGTTGATGGTTGCATAGTTATCATTTTCTCCCTGATAATCGATCTTGTAAGTAAAGAAGTTCATGAAGTCATTACTGCTGTGTTACTTGGACACTTCTGGCCTTGAAGCTTTATTTCTCATTAATTTAGCCACTGTTTCAGATAAATATGTCGGGTTTTGTTTATGTTCTTCTAATAGGGTTGAAAAATAAGCAGATCTAGCAGCTTTTAAGAACTCTCTGTAAGCGGTCGAGCTATCCTTCCATGAAATGCGAAATACTTTGTGTTTCTGGCTGCTCATTTAAGGGCCTGAGTGTGCTCGTTATACCACGGCATTGGACTATTTTCTTTAAGCACAACAGAGCAACTGTGTCTGCAAGTAATAAAGTGCTGGAAAAGAGAGAGTTAAAAGTTTCTGTCACGATATTGAGTTCTTCTAAGCTATCTGGGATGCTGAGATGATGAATCTGATTAGGAAGATTATTGATAAAGCAATATTTAGTGAAGGGTTAGGGTTATTTTAGCAGAAGTTATAGGTCTAACATATTTATAACACAGTCGGCTTTGCTGCTTTGGCTAAATTAAGTTTACATGAGACTAGATAGTGATCTGAGATGTTGTCGCTCTGCTGCAGTATTTCAACGGAATAAACATCTATCCCATGTGATAATATTAGATCTAGAGTATGAATACGACAATGAGTGGGTCCTGACACGTGTTGTCTAACTCCAATTGAGTTTATAATGTCTTTAAAGTTGCTGTATGCGTTTCTAGCGGCCTCTAGCGGTGATGTTTCAGAAAGCATCAAGAGCGCTCGTGCTCGATCTCAAGAGTGAGCATTCACTACCGGCCACACGGAGACTTTCAACACAACGGCGAAAGCATCACACAACATGCTGGAAACTAATGTAAACTCCCACTGCAGGTACAATAATAGCCTACTTTTATCAGCTTGACTGAACTAATGCTCTGTGCTCGTCCTTGATAATGTTACAATAAACTGCATTTAGCCACATGTGATGTTATATAGCATAAGCCATTTCACTTCGTGTATCTTTCACAATCAGCAATGTCAACATCGGTGAATGTATAATATGATAACGAAAACGATTAAGCCCCTTTCACACAGCACGTTGATCCTGGGAAATTGCCGGGAAATTGCCAGAACGCCTTGTATGTGAACGCACCCGGGATTGATACCGGGACTGATGCCGGGTTGGGGACCTAGTAACATTGCCGGAATCAGTCCCGGAACGAGCGCTGTGTGAACAAAAGCCAGGACTAATTCCGTAAGGGGCGTGTCATAGTGATGACGCTCGTGCCATCGCGCGACTCTAAGAAGACCGTTTATGTTCGTCATCAACAAAGAAAGGACGAACAAATGTCTGAAAACTGGAACGAGGCAGAGACCAGGAGCTCGGACCGGAACGGTATGCGCATGTACATGTTTTCGACGCGTCCGTTATACGTCTCATCCTGACGTCATGTGCCTTTCCGGGATCTTTACGGGTTGTGTGTGAACGCACTAACAGATCCCGGCAAATCACTGGCAGTGTGAATGAACCGAAATCAAACAATCCCGGGACAAATGCCGGGTCACATTATCCGTGTATTTTCCGGAATCTCTGTGTGAAAGGAGCTTTAGAGAACTAAACTGAACAGTTTCAGTGTATCAGTAAGATCATACGAAGTGGCATTACTGTAGTGAACGTGTCTGGAAATGTGCATAAACAATATGATAGTAGTGGATGAGTGACGTTAGGCAGTAGATCTAGTAAATAAAAGTTACATCCTAAAGCACCAACTTTTTGTTATCCTGGAACATTCTTTTGTATTCATGTCATGTTTCATGTAGTTTACCTTGATATTTCACTAGAGTTTACTAATATGTTGCCGATGTTGATCCGCGTTTTCGAGTCGACCAGATTCACGGTTTGCCTGACGAGCTTCAGCAGATTTTTTTTCAGATCAGTGTGTGTTTGAGTGTGTGTTGTGCTGGAGGCAGGACGTTTTGGGCTGTTATCAGACTCCATGTCGTCAGCTGAAGTGCCGTTGATCGCATGGTTGACTGTATATAAGGATAGAGAGGCTCGGGAGCGCGCATGCACGTCACATCCGATGGATTTCGCTGGGAATCCGACTCGGAGACCTCACATATAAATATGAATATTGGCCTTCAAAGGTAATAGCCAAACCCGAAAAGTGGATCATTGCAATGTGTCATTACAACCCCTTCAAACACGGGCAATAAAAAGGATTCATTTTATTAAAAAAGTTACATATAGGACCTTTAAATGCCAATCCCAATGCATCTTTTTCATTATCTACATGTATATTAAAATCACCAACAAATAGGACTTTATCTGCAATGAGTACTAACTCTAGGAAGCACAAAGAATTTGCTGATTTTCAGTCATTCTATCTTTATATATTTCTCTACTCTCTCACACACACACACACACACACACACACACAATAGTGAAAGCTCCTCTTGAGTGTCAGTCTCACCTGTGTGTTCTGGTGCTGCTCGGGTGTTTGATCTGCAGATCCATCATCAGCCTCTCTGATCTCACTGAGGGAAATAAACAAATCAGAGGAATATGCAAAGCATTGATAATCAACACAAACTCAGAAACTGCCTTCAGCTTCGACTGTCCACGGATATCAGATTCTCTCCAGAGACACACAGAACACTGACTGACACACCCTGAGCTATTAAATAACTCTTTTCTTCGAAATATGTCCTGCCCGTTTTGACATTAAGAACAAAAAAACTGTGAATAAAATCCTCTGCAGAACAACAGAAACAGTGTGATCGTTTGCTCAGAGAAAACATGAAATAACTCACAGACGACAGAAACTTCTTCTCGAGCTCAAACACACTCGATTAACAGCTAAAAATAGAAGGAAGGAAGGAAGAAAATGAGTCAAACCTTTCATTTCCCTCCGTGTCCACAGATTTACTCCTGGAAAAGAACCTGGAAAGGTTTTTGGCGAAATCCTCGTGCCAGGACATCTGCGTCTTCACATCGGACATCACGAACAACACAACTAAACATCTGAGGAGATCTGAGAGTCGAAGAAACCGAGCGATCTGATGCTTCTCTCCATTTCACCGTGTTTCACAGACCAGATCGACTGAAGATAGTTTGAGGAAGTTTGTTTGGGAGGAGTCAGAGTCAATCATCAACTCAGAAGAACAGGACAAGAGTTTACGGCGAAACTGTGTCTCATGTAAATAAACTGACTGTAACGTTAAGCGTTGACAACAGTTATTTTAACAAAAGAGTTCAGAATAAAGCGGTTTTAATTGTGCTAGTAATAAAAGTGTTTTATCCCTACCATAGATTATTAAAAATCATTAACTTGACATGCAGTAATTTCCCTGATTCATTTACTTTTAACATCTCAAAGCGCTTTTTTATACTGTATAAGCAGCCTGGTTTTATTCTGTACAGTGTAACTGTGCAAAGCTACTGAAGCAGATGAAATGTGGATATTAATAATGGGACATGACAAGCACTCTCTAGCTCAAACATGAATAAACTGATCGATGATTCAACGTTAGTATCTTTGGTTTGCTCGTCACTTCTGCTGCAGTGGCGCCACCACGTGTTCAGTGAGGGAATCGCGTTCGTGTTTCTCCAAAGAAGAGACGGAGAAACAATTTCAGTCAATTAAAAATTAGGATAATCTGTCATAATTACTCCCCGAAATGTCTTCAAACACAAAAGAAGAATTTTAGGGAACCAAACTTGCTGACTTTTATTGTAAATAAAAACATCTGAGAACAAGACATTTCTCCAAATCTCTTTTTGTTCCCCATCAGAAAGAAAGTCATACATGACCGAGGAGGGAAAAAATGAGGATGAGTAAATGATGACGGACGGAAAAATCATTTTTCGGATAAATCCATTTCTGTTCTTTTAGCATCAGTGAAATTCAGAAAACAGTTTTGATTCATAATGATATTTAAAAAGGAGCTACGTATATTTTAAGTGCTCAAAATATTTTATCATCATCAACAACACAATATAAAGCCTAGGTTTGAGTCATTATGCGTGCAGACCAAACTGAACACACACACACGCGCACACACAGGATAATAGCTGTTGTTGAACATCTCTCTGAAATGAAACACGTGTTGCTGGTCCGTGGGACACTGGCGTCGATCGGCTCAGAACGAGGCTGATCATAATTGGAGCCACATTTGTTAAAAGAGCTAAAGATGAGGCTGTTCTAGCAGTGGAAACAGATTCTGGGTGATCTGATAATCTGTTTATTTTCAACAAAATACATTTGAATTGATTAAGATGTGTTTTTAATATTCTCAGAGGGAATGGTGATATATGAGGAAGAGGGAAGTCAAATAAAAGGAGTGTTTAACAGCGCACTGTTTGCCTACTTGAGTTTCACTGAGTGAATGTGCACTAAAACTAGCAAAACATTTAGTTTGAAGTGTTGAAAATGTGACCTTTAACAGAAGCACAGAAACCTGAGAGATAAAAGAGCTGGTCTGAATAAAGCGTTTATAAGGAGAGCTGGATGGACGTTGGGCTCTGGCGTTCGAGACGTAAAGCCGGAAGACATATGTCTGCCATCAGTCAGAAAGCCCAATCCAGGGGCCAAACAACGGAGTCAGAGTTATTAGTCCCCGGGGCCCAGGATAAAACATTAGAAATGCAGAGCTACATTCTCCAGAGCAAGCGTTCCCGTCTTCCGCTTCGGTCTGCGTTTCCTCAGAGTTACAGGACATCATTCCCTCACAATGAGAGAGTTGATCAGCCCTGCTAATGAAAACAGCCTGTGACTCCAGATTTGGCAATATTCTGAATATACTTTATGAAAACAGAGCGTTGGAAACGCGTCTGGCTGTGGCGGGTTAAGTTCGGCTAATTGTGGAGCTTTACAGGGTCAAACAGCAGTAGGCCTGTGGAATAAATGTTTCCCACATGCTCACGAGAGACTGAATATTCAAGAGTCCGATTCACAGCAGCTGAACGAGTCCATGGACGATTATAGAGATCGGGTTCATTTGGTTGTTGTGGAAAACATCCTGAACTCTGAATCCAAACACTCTCTCTCTCTCTCGCGCTCACACACACACACACACACACTCAGCCAGCAGACAACCCTTCACATGTAACGCAGGTGCAGAGACGGACAGGCCTCGACAGTCTCCATTTTCTCTTAATGAATGACTGGACTAATGACAGTGAACAGAGGAAAACTCTCCAGAGACTCTGCTAAACACACACACACAGTCAGCAGCTTCATCTAACACACACACACACCCTAACATCACAACACCAGCCGTTGACACACGTTAGCCTGTTTATATGATGATGGTGTGTCTAATAGGTCGGTGATTAAGTGCTTTACAGCCGTTTGCTCAGACTGCCAAAACCATTACAATCCCAAACCTCTACATCAGATCTCACTGTAAACACTCTAAACACATTTCAATCATGACCGCTATTACAATTTCTGAACTGCAAAAACACTAAACCCATCTGAACCAAATTCCCCATAACCCAAACCAATTTGTGTAATAAATACACAAACTTTTTGTAAAACCTTAAACAAGTTCAGGCAGTTAGTCTACAAACCGGAAGTGGTTCAATCCCCAGTTCCACCAGGCGTGTGTGTGTGTGTGTGTGTGTGTGTGTGTGTGTGCTCGGATGGCCTTGCACGGCTGACACCACCGTCGCTGAATGAATGTGAGGTAATATGTAAAAGTGTGTTGGTGGCCATCGGGTCCGTGAAAGCGCTATATAAATGCAGTCCATTTATTTCTGATGACGTGATCAAACCAACTGTATATAATATAAGCCAGTTCAGAGATGACAGGTGTAGTGGGCGATCATATATTACCCAAACAATCTGAGATGAGGAGGAAGCTCTCACTCTATCACTCATGCTCTTCATTTAGAGTTTCTTTGAGCTTTAGGGCTTTTGCATTTAGACTGTGTTTTTTACTGTATTTTTACAGTATATTACAGTATGTCAGTACAAGAGCTGAATATACAGACATTCAGTAATATACTGTACAATATTCAATTCAATACTATACTTTTAGTGTGTATACTCTATACAATTTTTTTTTGAAACGCTAGAGGGCAGAATTGTGCAGAAAACTCTGTGTGACTCTCCTGCATTATAGATGTCTCTCTGAGAGAAGCTTAACTGAAACATAAAACATCTGTTCATTTCACACGAATAAACATTACAATACAATATTTTCAACCTTTAGCATACATTATCTTAAATGCTGCCTTAACTTAAAAAAAGTGAACAATGATAAATATTGAACAAAATATGTAAAGATGAATTGGTTTGCTTTTATTGTTTATCACATCTAATAGAGTAACATCCTAAAGTATTCTAGTTAACCTACTTTCCAATGTCGGTTTTAGAAATAAAGAGACTGAATCATCATTGAAACCATTCTCAAATCATTCAAATCGTTATTAATACTTTCATCAAAATAAATTCAAACACATTTAAATTCTTAATTTGAATTAAAATATAAGCATATCTCATGGCATAATCCAAATTTGACAAAAAGGTGTACAACAGCAGCCAATGTTTCAGTCCTTTATGCACATTTAAGGGTAAAGGTGGCACCTACACACACACACGTTTCACATGACAACGTGGCATTGACAAATGCCAAATGCAGAAGAACCTTTATATCCTGAATGAATGTCTTTCAGAACGTCTCAGACACAGACATGTATGTCTTCAGCTAAAAGATTTTAATAAAAATATATATTGTATATTAGGGGTGACACAGATCACAAAACCCACGGTTCGGCTTGTATCACGGTTTTAGGGTCACGGTTTTCGGTTCAGAACGGTTCTTGTTGTTATTTTTTCTTTTAACCTTTAACACTCCAGAAATGTACTTCAGCATATGATATATAGCTTGATTATCCACAATTTAAGATACAGTATTTAAAAAAATGTTTATATCATGCACAAACTGAATTTGACTTGACTTTAAGCACATTATTGGGACCATCTCTTAAAACTCTTTTAAATAAGTCAAAATACATTAAAAATAATTGTCTATAATTAGGCTATAACAATAGCAAAGGCCATATGCTTCTATTCCCTGAGAGTGAGGATACATTTTTGCACATTAAAGTGCAGTATTTGGAAACATATGACTATAAAATTTAGTTTTTATCTAAATTTAAAGTGCCACTGTAGCTATATACTTAAATATCATAACATGACATCCCAAAATGTTCCCACACACTGGAATTATACGACGCTGGCGCCTCTTCCAACTCCGATTAGCCTTCCTTATCTTTCCCACTTGCCATTTCTACGTTACGGTTACAGCGGACAGCATTACGGGTTACAGCGAACAGTGTTACGGGTTACAGTGGACAGTGTTACGATTACAGTGGACAGTGTTACGGATTACAGTGAACAGTGTTATGGTTACAGCGGACAGTGTTACGGGTTACAGCGGACAGTGTTACGATTACAGTGGACAGTGTTATGGTTACAGTGGACAGTGTTACGGGTTACAGTGGACAGTGTTACGATTACAGTGGACAGTGTTACGGGTTACAGTGGACAGTGTTACGATTACAGTGGACAGTGTTACGGGTTACAGTGGACAGTGTTACGATTACAGTGGACAGTGTTACGGGTTACAGTGGACAGTGTTACGATTACAGCGGACAGTGTTACGGGTTACAGTGGACAGTGTTACGATTACAGCGGACAGTGTTACGGGTTACAGCGGACAGTGTTACGGGTTACAGCGGACAGTGTTACGGTTACAGTGGACAGTGTTACGGATTACAGTGAACAGTGTTACGGGTTACAGTGGACAGTGTTACGGTTACAGTGGACAGTGTTACGGGTTACAGTGGACAGTGTTACGATTACAGTGGACAGTGTTACGATTACAGCGGACAGTGTTACGGGTTACAGCGGACAGTGTTACGGGTTACAGCGGACAGTGTTACGGGTTACAGCGGACAGTGTTACGATTACAGTGGACAGTGTTACGGATTACAGTGAACAGTGTTACGGGTTACAGTGGACAGTGTTACGATTACAGTGGACAGTGTTACGGGTTACAGTGGACAGTGTTACGATTACAGCGGACAGTGTTACGGGTTACAGTGGACAGTGTTAC